GAAGAAGTTTAATAGAACCTTCAAGCAATTGGAAAGCAAAATGCATAAACAAAATGTACCATAGAAGCTTGTGAGAGCGAAGTCGGCACGAAAACAAACTTGCATTTACAATTAGCATTTTATGGACAATCAGAGCACAAGTTATAGAAAGAGATGGTAATGGCAGAAACCTGAAACACACGCTTAAACAAACCAATTGTATCGTCATTATTCGCTGCAAAGAGAAACATCAAAGTCAAATTAAGACTTCTAAACATCTCTTAAACTCCTTAGGATATGTCACGACCCAAATCCTCTACGGGTCGTGATGGCGTCGGACACCGCTGTCAGGCTAGCCAACTAAATTACCACTTACTTCCTCTTTTAACACTTTTGAAAATCTAAGGTTTTTCTTTTCGTTTTACATAAAATAAGATCATTGCTTGAATTCAAATTTAAATAATAGTAATTAGTACAAGGATTTACTGAAACCATCCCAGTAACCCGGTGTCACAAGTGCATGAGCAACTACTGATGAAGACATAAAATACAACACTACATCCGTCCGGAATACAATGGACAGAAAAGAAATACAGTTACTAGAAAGGGACTTTAAAGAGCTACGGGTCGCCTCGCATACTGCAACTCACCTAGTCCCCGAATCGTCCATGCTGCTGCGCCCAGTAGGCCGCTAAAGTATCATGTACCTGTGCAACAAAAATGCACAGAAGTGTAGTATGAGTACGTAATCAACGTGTACTCAGTAAGTATCCCGCCTAATCCCGAAGGGGTAGAGACGAGATGGCCAACTTCGACACTCGCTAGAGGTCAATAAAAAATATTCTGTGAGTGCGAGAATAATCATGGATTTATATAGAAGTTCTAATTGTGAAGCCAGAAAACAGGTAAACACCTTCAACAATAAAATCAAGGGCTTCCAAAGTCTATTCTTTATTATCTTATTAGTTTATATCAAGCCGCGTAGGGCCAATTCCACATTTACAAGTTTAGAGTAACAGATAAACATGCGCAAATCACACCGAGGCGACGGCCCGCTCCAACAGGAATGTAAACTGTGCACTGCCGAGGGTCGAGCGGCACGAACCATAGATGCATCTATTCTCACCAAGGCGTTCGGCCCGTTCCATAAATAAACACATATCCTGCTCGCGAATCATCCATGCGACGCAGGCACACATAAAATACATGCTCAAGTAGGAAATTAAGAGTTTATAGAGGATAATCATCCAAATAGACAAGTTCTCTTTTCTTAACATTTCAGGGAAAATAAATATTAAATCTTTTTTTAAATTCCTTTACCAATTCAAGGTGATTTAAACAATTCCACTATGAATGGGTTCATAGTAATCCAAGTATAACATGCTTTTTGGGTTCTAGACTACCCGGACAATAGCATAATAGCAGCTATGCACGGACTCTCGTCACCTCGTGCGTACGTAGCCCCCACAAATAGGAGCACATAATCAATTTAACTCACCTATGGGGTAGTTTCCCCCTCACAAGATTAGAAAGGAGACTCACCTCGCTCCGAAGACTCATAACCGGCATCCTACATCCTTCCGAAGGCTTGAACCAACGCACAATGCACCAAAACTAGCCAATGATCATACAAATCCATTAATATATGCTCAACTATACTTTACAACTCAATTTATAACAATTCCTAACCCCGAACGAAAAGTTGACCAAAATGCCCTCGGGCCCGCGCGCCCGGAATCCGAAATTTTTCGAAGATAAAATCGTGGCTAAAATCCAAGGTTTATAATTTTCTAGGCTTCCAACCAAAACCCCAATATTTACACTAATTTTCATGCCTAATCCATACATAATCAATGTATTTAGCTCATAATAGGTGGGAATAACTTACCTCAACATGGTTGATGAAGATCCTCCTTTGAACCCTCCAAAAATCGCCAAATGAAGTGAAGGAAATGGGTGAAATGAGCAAAATCCGACATTTAAAATAACCCTTCTGCCTACAGCCATTTTCGCTTCTGCGGGCCATTTTCGCTTCTACGAAAACCGCTTCAGCGAAAAACGACCCGCTTTTGCGGTCCCTGGGCTCCAGCCCATCTTCGCTTCAGCGGACACAAAATCGCATCAGCGGTTCCGCTTAAGCGGTCCAATAGCCGCTTCTGCGCCCACCTGGGCCTGACCCCCTTTCCGCTTATGCGGAATATACGCCGCTTATGCGGCTCCTCCTCATGCCCACCTTTTCGCTTCTGCATCCTTTTCTCCGCTTCTGCGGGGCCGCTTCTACGGTCCCATTTCCGCAGAAGCGGAAATGCCAGATACCAGGTGCTTCAGCACTTCTTCAAAATCAGTTTTTGATCCATTAACCACCCGGAATTCACCCGAGGCCCCCGGGACGCCAACCAAACATGCCGACCAATCCCAAAACACAATACGGACTTGCTCGAGGCCTCAAACCACATCAAACAATGCTAAAACCATGAATTACACCCCGATCTAAGCTTTATGAACTTTGAACTTTCCAACTTCTATTTCCGATGTTTAAACCTATCAAATCACGCCCGATTGACCTCAAATTTTGCACGCAAATCATATTTGACATTACGGCCTACTCCAACTTCCGGAATTTGATTCCGACCCCGATATCAAAAAGTCAACCCCCCGGTCAAACTCTTCAAAAACCTCCAAATTTCTATCTTTAGCCAAATGGCTCCAAAATGGTCCACGGACCTCCGAATTCACTTCCGATCGCGCTCCCAACTCCAGAATCACCATACGGAACTACTCCCAGTCTCGGAATTCCAAACGGACATTGATAAAACCGAAATACACTTCAAGCCAAACTTAAAAATTTCTTCCAAAATGCTAACTTCCACAATAGACGCCAAAACGCTCTCGGGTTATCCAAAACCCACACCGGGCATACGCCCAAGTCTGAAATCATCATACGAACCAGCTGGAACCTTCAGATCCCGATTCTGAGGTCGTTTACTCAAAATTCCAATCCTAGATCATTCTTTCAACTTTAAGCTTCCAAAATGAGAATTCTCTTCCCAAATCAACTCCGAGCTTCCCGAAACTAAATTCCGACCACGCGTACAAGTTGTAATACCTGCAATGGATCTGTTCAAGGCCTCCGACTGCTGAACGGAGCGTTAGAACTCAAAACGACCGGTCGGGTCGTTACAGGATATATGAACATATAAAAAAAACTCACTTGAATAGTTTTCTGGTATTTAAATGGATATGACCCAACCCATAAGGTGCCACCCCGCATGACTAAACAGCGGCTGGCTGAAATGATAACAAATATTTTTAGCTTCCTAATAATAACAATTAGTAAAAACTTAATTCTTTAGGCAATGAAGGGTAGAGTGTAATAAGAAAATGTAATTATTTATGTAAATGTGGAATTATCACCAGTAACTCTGACAAAAACTCTGCAGTGATTGCCTCTACTCGTGGAGTATGAATAGCTTGTATTTTGAGCAGCAACCACCCTTTCTTTACAAAACCTAAGATCATGCAGCAACTTTTGCGCGAAATCTGACTTGATTGACATTTTTTTTGAATGTACAACTGGATTTTTGGAGTAAATTTGTATAATAAAACAGCAAAATCAATATATAGAAAATGTACTTAAAAAAGAATATTCTTAGATTGTGCAAATCATGATAGAGCGTCAACTAATCATTCGTGGACAAGAGAAAAGGAAAGAAAATCAGAAGTTCAATAAAGCATGAATTATTGTCTGATAGATTATAATAACTGTTAGTTGTATATTGCAAAAGCATCTATATGTGATTCTTCAATATGAAAATTTCTCTTTGAACTATGTATACTTCCAGCTCTCTACAGATAATAAAATTCTTGGATGATATATTTTCTCCATCAAGCTATCTAGATTGATGTCATGGTGAAGCTTTGTTGTTTGATGGGTAGCCTTGAATTGATGTGAGGATGAAGCTATCTTATTCTGTTGATAGATTGTCAACTGATGGATCTAGCATGGCAAGTTCGAGCTACAATAATAGAATGATGAAGTTGAACTATTGTCTTATTAATTCTTTCAAAGAGTTGGTTGAATATTGTATCCGCAAGGGAGTCGAGAAAAATGCAAATTATTTTTGCACTAAACTATTGATTAGAGGTGGAATATTAAGTATGTATTTGTTGATTATTGCTCGATTTCTTAAGGAAATGGTAGTGTCCTGTTTTGGACTTGAATCTACTGCCAGTGATGATTTTTCCAAGTCCTTTTTGCCATCATTTTTGTTACTGCACAAGTTTTATTTGAATTAAAAATATTTTTAATTCGATTGGACTGAAACATAAATGAATCTTTTGGATGCAGGTGATTGGTAAGGGATATGCTGACAGTAGGATTTATCATTCACCTGGTACTCCTAGGAAAGTGTAGGAGTACTCATCTTTCAGTAATCACTTAAGTTTTTGGATCTGCTAAAAGTGGGAAAACCTCCTAATGATACTCCAGATTTCCAAGAGCTTCTTACTGCTTGTGGCAGTAACCGGATGATTCTGAGCTTGGCAAAGATGTGATGACATTGAAAAGTTGAGCTTGGGTCTATAGACTTAGCAATGCACTAAACAGTGACGTATACTTAAAATTATAATTCATCTATATATATATATATATATATATCTGCTTATGCCTGTAACCACTGCTAAAGTTGGCACAGTTTCACCCGATTGTATGTCGAATGACCCCCTAATGATCTTATGTTGAAACAGATCTTATGATGAAAATTGATCTTATGATGATAATTGAGTTGTTTCATCACGTCTATGATTGAAGGGTAAATTTATATGCAAATTTACCTTCAGACCAAGAAAAAGAAGCTAAACTTAATAGGAGAAAAGGAGAAAAACTGTGCAAGCACAACGATAAATAAAGCACCATAATTAATTGAGGAGGATAGAATGTGGTACCAATTATATCATTATGTAGTAAATTTCATATGTTTAAGCTGAAATTACATAAGCCCAGAGCGCTTTCGCTGCCGTTGTTAAAACATTTGAAGTTTCAACAGGAAGAGTAACTGATCATTGGAAGTAGATGCAGGCACATCTGGATCACCTACTTCATTAGGCTGATTAGATGTAGCACCAATTGCTCCAATTTCCTCTGAACCACCACCTAAATCACCTACTTCATCATGCTGCTCCGATCTAGCAACCAACACTCCACCTATAGATGCAATCTCAACTTGCTCTTCTGTTGCTGGTGTTGCTAAAACAACTGTAGTTTCAATAGGAAGAGTATTTGACTCATCAGGAGTAGATGTAGGTATTTCAGATGCTACACTCTTTGTATTTGGATCCTACAAATATTTCTGGAATCCCCTCATGAACTCTTTTCCCATTTGGTTCATCAATCCTAGCAACAAAATTAGTAAATTCAAGAGAAGGTGTATTTTTATGGAATTTATGAATCATCAACAGTAAGTTCAATAGGTCATGGAGGGACCAACTACATATTTGTCTTAACTACTCATAAGAGGAAAATAAATAGAACCATAAATGACAGAAATTCAGCATTGAGTTTAAAAGAATATTTGTAGAAATTTACAAAGAACCTACACCATATTTTTGTATGTAATGTAGTTCCAGAAGTTCTTTTTCCAACGGCACAAGTAGAAAGTGGTTTCAATGTGAATAAAGACAATATTCTTTCCAAGTCTAACCGTGAAAAGCGGAATACCAAAAATATATAACTCAATTTAAAAGTATATCTGTATAAATCAACAAAGAATCTTGGTCTAATTTTTATATATATTATAGTTCCACAAGTCCTCTTTCCAAGGCACAAGCGGATCACAATTTGGACATGCCATTGGAGAAATAAACATTTTTTAGTCAGAGCGTGCAAAGCTGTAAAAATCAGATTTGCATAAATTTATAACTGAGTTGAAAATAATATCTGTATAAATCTACAAAGAATTTAGACCTGATTTTTGTAGATATTGTTGCTTCAGCAGTCTTCTTTCTAACGGCAACAGCGGAATGTGTTTTTGACGTGTCTGCCGAGATATATGAATTTTTTAGTCAGGACGCACAAAGCTGTAAAAATCTTAATACCTGAAATTCATAACTTAATTCCAAAGCATATATGTATAAATTTATAAAGAAATCTAACCTTATATTTGTACTTAATGTAGCTCAAGAAGTTCTCTTTACAACATCACAAGCGGATCGTGATTACTTTCAACATGCTAAATAAAACAATGTAAACAAAAGACATTATCATCAACAACAAAATCTTAGTAGTTAAATAATTTAAAAGCAAATAGAAGAAGCGTAGCACCTCAACAATTGTCAGAATAAATTTCGAAAAACTTCTTTAAATACTACACTTGTAGCTGGAGTAGTTCTTTGTCCATCATCATCATCATAAACCAAAATCTTTAATCCCTTTCTAGTTGTCACCCTGGAAAGAGCAACATATAGTTGTCCGTGGGTAAACACAGGTTTCTTCAAAAATAATCCCACATGAGACAATGACTGTCCTTGACTTTTATTGATTGTCATGGCAAAGGATACAGTGATTGGAAATTGTCTTCGCTGGAACTTAAATGGAATTCTAGCATCAGATGGAGTCAATGTCATTCTTGGGATAAACACTTTCTGTCCAGCCATATGTCCTGATAAAACCTTGGCTTCAATAACTTGATTTCCAAGTTTAGTTATGATCAACCTTGTTCCATTACACAATCCTGTTGATTGGTCAATATTTCTTAATAACATCACCGGAACACCTACCTTTAGAGTAAGAGCATGATTTGGAACTCCAGAACATTTAATAGTGTTCGAAAATTCTGGTGTGTGTACATGTTCCAATGCTGAATAAGTTTGATCAGAGCTGCAAATTGTATCAGAACTCAAATATGATTTCTCAGGACTATGATTGAGTGAAATCATATATTCGTTGATTGATTCTACCATATCAAGAGTTGGAGCAAGAATGGCTCTTTGTTGGATGTATCCTATATCGTTGCAACAATTGATAAAATCAGGATATGTACTTTCCACAATTGCAGATATTGGATCAACAGGATATTTTATCAGAAGATCATCTGGTATTTCGACTATTTCATTGCCATCAACTGAATTATCAATCATACCATCACAATTGCCAAAATCCAATCTGAGAAAACTTTCAACTCTTGCATCTGGGGCCCTATTTCATTACTTTGCAATCTCATATTCTTTGTTAGCGCTAAGAGTTGACAGTGAGACCATAAATAAGAAGAATTGAGAGAAGCATTAACAATATCTTGCCTAGTACCTTTTGGAATAACAGGTAATATTTGTCTGAAGTCACCACCAAGAACAACTGTTTTACCTCCAAATGGTCGTTCTAAGTTGGATGCATCTTTGAATCTAAGAATATCTCTTAGAATTCTATCAAGAGCCTCAAAACAATATCTATGCATCATGGGTGCCTCATCCCAAATAATCAACTTTGCCTTGACAATCAAATTTGCTAACGGAGAACCTTGCTTGATATTACATGTTGAATCTTCAGTAAGATTAAATGGAATTACAAATCTTGAATGAGCTATTCGACCACCTGGTAACAAAAGAGATGCAATCCCGCTAGATGCAACAGTTAACACAATATCTCCTTTAGATCTTATGGCAGAAGAAAGAGTCCTCCAAATAAAAGTCTTGCTTGTTCCTCCAAAACCATATAAAAAGAAAAATTCACCTTTGTCTTCATTCACAGCTGTTATTATTCTTTTATAGATACAATTTTGCTCATCTGTCAAATTCTTTACTAACTCTTCATGTTCCTCTGCCAAAGCGCGTCTATTATAACACAATTCATCTTGAATTAATCTGTTACTGATGTCAACTTCTTCCTCTTTATAAACAGGCATTGGCATTGTTGGAAAATCCTGAAAACTTCTTCCACAACCTTTTAAGAAGTTTTCCAACTTTTGCAAACAACGATTTTTTAACTCATCATCTGTTGGTGAAATTCTGAAAAAACCAAAAAAAAAAATAAAAATTAAATACAATTTCAATTAAATCTTACGGGTTAGTGTAGTTACATGAAAAGAATAATAAGATTAATGGATCGGTAAAATGCAAAATGGTGATTTAGATGAATATGAAGGCCATTTTAATTATCCGCGAAATTGAAGCAATAAGATAGTCCAAACCATCTAGTTCATTTTATTGAGAAAAACTACAAAGCTTGAAGTGAAGATGCATTTTCTTATACCTAATGTTACTTGATATGCCTTAACGGGCATGCTGGATGATCAGGAAAGTAACGGAAGCTAGAGCAGCATTGGAGCAAATGCAAGTTACTTTAAGCAAAAGCATAATCAGACAAATGTACTTGCAAATGTTAGGCTACTATCCTCGAGTTGTGTCGAAGTGCATGGTTTTTAATAATGCTGCAAGGCCAAAGGCTAAGTTCACCTTATGGCTGCAGTAACAGGGGAAATTACTTGCATCTGACAGGCTAGCTAGATGGGACTGAGTGTGGATCAATGCTGCATGCATGCCTGCACATTATATCAATCCCAATGTAATCTAGAGAGCATTTATTTATTTACTGTGAATTGATAAAGAGATCGTGGATGAAAGTGATGCAATGGCTAAACACACAATTATTTGAAGCTGCTACCTAGGAAAAATACTCAGAATAGGCTATTAAGAACTCTAAAGGAAAATCAGAAGCTGCTCAATTGTTTAGAATGGTGTATGCTGAGTGTGTTCATTCCATTTGGCTTGAGAGAAATCAGAGAGTGTTTGAGAAGTAGGCCAGGGACTGGAATTGCATAGCGAGAGAAGTTGCTATATGTGTAAGCAAATCATCCATAATTCTGAAATATCATATACCAACTCGAAATGAAAGCGTTATTTTAAGTACCTGGGTTATGCAATATCGTTCTTTCTGCATGAAGGATATCTTCTGATAGTAAATGCCATGTTGCTTGCCAAACACTTTCTGGACGTGACATTGAATTTGATAAAAGTAGCATAACAAATAATTGCCTAAGATATGATGGCATTCCCCAATTACTTGCTTCTATTATAGCATCCACGTATTCTTTGTCATCATCTAATAAACTCAAAGCATAACATGCATCTCTAAAAGTCTTATGATCGCAACCGTTGATTTTTCTGAGTTCCTCATAGGATTTTGGACCTTTAATGACATTTAACAACAATCTAAGGTAATATTGCTCGCCAGATCCAGGTGGAATAAAGAAGATTCTCCCAATAGAAAATGCAGATGTTTGTCTTTTTTCCCATCTTTTCAAATTCTTTTTCCACACAAACTTGAGAGGGAATTCTGCATAAGTTAATTCTCTTGCTTCAGGAAATATCTTATTTGCTTCAAACCAACTTAAAAACATAGACTCCTTTACTGTTGGTTTATTGACAACTGCATCAATTGGATCATCATCCGAATATATGACATTTTGATTATTTGGTAGATGAAATGATAGCCTTTCTACAGATGGTTCTCTATGGTGTAGTGAGAATTTAAAAATTCTCCAAGCAGCTTCACATGGAGATATGTATCGGCAATCACAGTATATATTTATTTCATCAACACCCGATGAGTCTTCCTTATTTACACTTTGAGAAAAAGCTGCGGTGACACGATCATTTCCTTTATTAACATACTTAAATAAGTACTTAATGGATCGTGATTGATTGCACCATTCCACATTAATATGTGCGACATACTTCAATAATAAAAATTTATTATGAGGCACTACATACTTGTTATCCAACTCAATACCTACTCTCCTTGCAGTTCTACCATTATCCCTTCTTCTATAAATAGGGTACCCTTCTTCATCAATGGTGGTTGAGGCAACAAACTTTTTTGGAAAGTGCTTTGTACATCTGCCATTCTGCATGCAAGGAGAAGATTTTCTAGCAGAACCACAAGGGCCATGCATCATAAGAATTTGTAACAGCATTATAATAATGAGGATCAGTCTTTTTATCCGGTAATTCTGCTGAAATCATCCCATCAATATCTGCGATATTTGGGTATTTATTACGCAGAAAAAGCAAAATATGTGCATGAGGCAAGCCTCGCTTTTGGAATTCAACTGTATAAATCACTGCATAAAAAATAATTAATTACATTAGTAAGGATTTCTTTGTTTTTATATTAGCTTATAATAACTTAAGATAATAATGTAAGTAATTGTTATAGAAAATAAATATTATACCTGCTTTGATTTCTCCAAAAACTTTATTATCTCGCAAGTCCTTTATCATGCGATCCAATTTTACTTTGAAAACCCTTGTTAAAATGTCGGGACGATCTTCTGGAGATAATCCCCTACTCGTCACAAATCTAGTAATCTCGGGCCATTTTGGGTTGCACGTAAATGTGATGAAGAGATCAGGGTACCCTGCCCATTTGCATATTGCCATGGCATCTTGATAATTTTGCAACATGTAACGTGCACCCCCGTGAAGCTGGAAGAGAGTATAACTCTTTGTCCTTGAGAAGAAGGTTCAATATCTCCATGCAAAACCGCATCTTCTAACCCTTTATAAAAGTGGGCTCTCAACTGTTTTTGATGAAGCCTAATAAACCTTAATCGAAAAGATTCCATCATTGTATATCCATCTACCAAAAATTGCTGAAATAACCTTCTGCATGATACAATTGTTGGGAGTTCATGCTTCCTTTCTTGAATTTTGTATGATAAGTATTCACGTGTGCTAACACATTTCCTTCCACCGGTCGATTCATCCTTTTCATTTAAAGGAATATCTTCCCGGTATCCGTCTTCACCATATGGAAATAGTAACGGATACTGCAAACCTAAGTATGCAACATTTAATTCATTTATCCTTTGTAGTTGTCCAGATTGGCTTTCAACTATGATTTCTCTGTCAGACCTTGTTTGTTCAAAATCGCCAACCACCAAAGCAGCTACCTCTGAAACTGTCGGCAGGTTGTATCTTCTTCCATCAGAGCCTCTTTTCCCTATTAATCTGAGTCTAACATTTGAGCTTCGATCTACTTGAAATCGATCTCTTACCATTCTAAATGACTTTGTCAGAACATTGTGTTCATCAAGCATTTGCTTCAGATCATTCACAATTTCAGCATGAAGTTGATTATTACTTTCACCACGACTGTGAAAATTAAAGATTGAATTCAACTAATAAGGTATATCTTTTATAAAAGTAATTCTTAAAGTAATATTGTTAAGAATTGATGAATACTAACCGGATAGCCTAAATTCTATTGTCCACCTCATTTTCTGTATCATAGATATATAATTGTGCAAATTTTGGGTTAGATCCGTCTGGAGGCAATAAGCTTCCAATCTGATGATAATTTTGCCCAGATAATCTGAATGTTCTCGGCCCCTTATTTTGGTTGACAGAGACATCAATCTTTCCTCCCATTGATGTAAATGAAAACATAGCATTATATGTTCGAATATTCTCTCTGAAATGTTTACTTTTTGCACCTTTATGAAAATAGAATTGATTAAAAGAGATATACGTACAATTTTAGTGTTGTTTCATTTTATTAAATGAATCTATATATTAACCTGATCCAAACAATAATTCCTTTAAAACCGAAGGAGGCTCCTTTGTATTTGGCAGCTTGATCTTTCCGCGACCACAACACAAGCTGAATACTGGTTTTTTATTCTTATACTTCTTTTCAATTCGTTCCTCATACCAAAAATATGCCCCACAATAGTCACATTCATAAGTAGCATCTCCAATATCCCAGTAATCTAATATTGTTAGAGTAAAATATAGAGTTACAGTCACATTACTTATTATATAGATAGTATAATTATATCGTAAACATAATTATATGCTAATAACCAGAAACCTCGCAAGTAGTTAACCATGCAACCTAATCATAGGCGGTGGGACTCTCCCACTTAGCTTGAAGCTATTATTACACAACTCTGGCATTCACCAGGACTCTTTATCTCTTATTGACGTAACCTTGCGCAATCAACCGCCAAAATTCTCGGAATCTTGCTGTAAAACCCCTTTTTATACTCTGAATCATCAACCACATTCGCACGATCGATCTTTTTGCTGCATAACCAATAGAATTCTTTGTAGAAGCTTCGCCAACTATGCGATCGCTAACCTGCTCTCCGGGAATAACCCACCTGAGTCCGAGCTCACTCTCTAGCTGCACAAGTCCATTCACCGCTCGTGGACATCAATTAAATTTGCGGCAACATCCTCCCAATTCAAAGCTATGTTGTATCCTTCTTCTTCTCCGGCAGTTCCTTCCCGTTATATCAAATCTTCTACCGCATAATAGCCCATGCTCGAAATTAAATCTGTAGACCTCAATCACCAAATCACTAAAATTCCCAAATCGATCCAAACTCTCCTTAAGGCGCGTAGTCATCCTACTACCAATCCCATATGCAACATCCGCCACTCTCCCACTTCGGGCAAACTCGATTCTTTATTCAACCAACCGACCTGCGCTTCTTACACCTGGCCTTCTAGAAGTTTTAAACACCGCCGGACACTTCCCACATGTCCTTCCTCATACTTTGCTGCCCAATTGTTGCCTTAATTAAAATCTATCTTCGTAGCACTTGAACCCACAAATCGCTACTGACTTAAACCTTTCTAAAAATCTTCTTCATCGAGCCGTCGACATTAGAAACACCGATTCAATTCTGAACTATCGCACCCTGCTATAACTGGCAGCCGCATTTTCAATACTATTTAACAATAGCTTGCCCCAAAGGCGAATTGTAGAAGGTCATAACACCGGCGAACTTAGTACGTTCAATTAGGACAACGACACCCCATCATAGAAGAAAGCTCCACCACGCTCGCCAATACCCAGTCTCATTACTCCACCAGCCCACATCTGACCATTCTTAGTCTGATTGTCTTTCCCTTGCCGTGAATAAAATACTGAAACTCTAGATTATGCACTGAGTCGACCTCCCTTCAAGTCATTCACCGCCCCGACATGTAGGCAAATGTCCTACCATCATATCAATACTGCGGAACAATAGTTCATAAGCATCATGGCAAGTTGTGCCTAGCCTCAGAGCCCTTAGAAGTATCGCTACTGGGCTGAAACAATAAAATATTCTTCCATAAAACGACGATAATAATCCGATCAGCTATACCGGGAGAAACATCCTGTATCACATCTGTAGTACCATTACGGTTTTTCGATTTATAACAAGCGGTTCGCGTCGCGTAAGATTGAGTAGGAATGAATTAAAGGCATACGCCTCCAAGGATCAAATCGCACGATAAGGAATCAAGAAGGGAAGTACTCCTAATAGTCCTGCAGCCTCACGAGGATAAGTACAGACGTCTCCGTACCGAGCCGCGAGACTCTACTAGACTTGCTCATGACTCGTGAGACCCTAGGAACCTAGTGCTCTGATACCATGTTGTCACGACCCAAAATCTACTAAGGGTCGTGGTGGCACCGGACACCGCTGTCAGGCAAGCCAACTGAAATACTTGATTAAATTCTTGTTTTAATAATTTTGACAACACTTCCTTTATACGATTAAAACAGTACTCAGTATATTCCTCCGAATGAATACTGAAATATCTATACAAATTTTAAAATTTCTGAATAAACCCAAATACATCCCAGAACCCGGTGTCACAAGTACATGAGCAATTACTAAGGAATCGAATAAAGTACAATAACTGTCCGGTATACAAGTGGACAGAAATGGAAATACAATACAATACTCTGAAGGAGACTCTGCTGACTGCGATCGCCTCAATAAATGCAACTCACCTAAGTCTCCGTATCAACCATGCCGCTATGCCACTAAGCCACTAGCCACACATAAACCTGTGCAACAAAAATACACAGCAAGTGTAGTATGAGTACGAAAACAACGTGTACTCAGCAAGTATCTCGTCTAATCTCGAAGAAGTAGAGACGAGAGGTCGACTTCAACACTTGCTAGTGGTCAAATAATAATATGGTGAAGATGTGAGGAAACATGGATTTATCTAGCAATTTTAACTCATAAAGCAGGGAAACAGGTAACACCTTCTCAAATAATAAGGAAACTTCCAAGATTCACTTTTCATTATCTTTACTAGTTTATAGCGGCCGCAAAAGACAATATCAACTTCAATAAGTTTCAAGGTAAGCAATGCAAGCATGCGCATATTATGCTGAGGTGAGGACCCGATCCATCAGAAATAAATTGTGTTGCCGAGGGTCGACGATGCGCCTATAGATGCATCTATTTAATCTACCGAGGCGTTCGGCCCGTTCCAAAATATAAACACACTCAGACAGACAGTCAATCAAGAAGTCAACATGGAGCAATTATCCAAGGAAAAGCCAATTCTCTTTAGTAGTTTAACAAAATGAAGTTTAAATCTTTTTAGGAATTCATGTACTAATTCGATGTGATTTAAGCAATACAAGCTGTCAATAAGATGGAAAATATTCCAAGTATAGCATGCTTTTGGGTCCTACACTACCCGGACAATAGCATAATAAGCTACGCACGGACTCTCGTCACCTCGTGCGTACGTAGCCCCCACAAATAGGAGCACATAACCAATTTATTCACCTATGGGGACAATTCCCTCTTACAAGGTTAGAAAGGAGACTCACCTCACTCTGAAGGTCCATAACCGACATTCCACGCCCTTCCGAAGACTCGAATCGATGCACAACGCTCCAAAACTAGCCAATAATTATGTAAATCTATTAATATATGCTAAGGTACTCATTATAATCCAATTTATAACAATTCCTAACCCCAATCAAAAAGTTGACAAAAATGCCCTCGGGCCCACGTGCCCGGAATCCAAAATTTTTCGAAGAGAAAGGTTACCCATGGCCTCACGAACTCAAATATATGATTTTCTCTAAATTCCATACCCAAAATCGTGGTCAAAATCCAAGAATACTAGTTTCTAGGTTTTCCCTCAAACCTCAAGTTTTCTACAATTT